AACGTTAAACTTAACGTGCAGGTTATCTGTCAAAAACGTCATCTCGCCTATAATAAATAACGTTTTTTGGCAGATAACCTGCACGTTAAGTTTGACGTTTCCGATAAATCACTATGTGTGAATGACGTTTTTGACATATAACATGCACTTTTTCGTGATACAGCACAGTGCTGATTGTGTAAAAATAATAATTTTTTCAAGTTGTCGAGCACAAATTTCCTCAAAAACAGCTTGGTGGGTATCTCAAGAAATAAACCATATGTCTATACAGGGTGGTGCCTCGCGCAACGCAGCATAGGGATTTCAATGGTAATTTCTTTATAGTCAATTACTAGCTCCCCTAATTATTTTAGAGCAAAAGTCTAAATAAGTTTTTTTTAGAGAAAAAAATACTGCATCTGTTCATACTTTTAGTTATAATTTTCCATTTTTCAAAACCGTAGAAATCGACAAAATAAAAAATTACATTTTTATAAATCAGTGATGCTTTGGAATCTTTTAACAGACTACAAGCGCATCGCATCTAAATTATGGTTGTTTGGCGTCGAACGATTTTCATATTTAATTCTGTTACAACTATCCGATGCAAGAAAAAGCCGCAATTGGGTAATGTTTTTTTAGAGAATGTATGCTGCATCTGCATCAGATACTATTTGTTTATCAGAGAGAATCAGAGTACCTACATAATCGAAGAAAAAAAAACTGATTTGAAGCAGATTTGTTCCTAAACTTATATTCGGATTTTCCGCTACTGCAGCCAAAGCGTTGAATGTATTGTCGTTTTCTTGATGGTTTTAACGGACATTATGAACGTTATTGCACTTGCAGTTCTTTAACTAATTTATAAACAAGTATAAATTTAATATACGCCAAAGGCAAATAATGAAACGTGATCGCTGTTTTTTATGTAATTCCAAGGCATATTTGATTTATTGTAAAATGAACCTTTTTATTTTGTCGATTTCTACGGTTTTGAAAAACGGAAAACGAGTAATAGCATGAACAGATTCAGTATTTTTTTCTCTAAAAGAAACGTATTTAGACTTTTGCTCTAAAATAATTAGGGGAGCTAGTAATTGACTATAAAGAAATTACCATTGAAATCCCTGTGCTGCGTCGCGCTAGGCACCACCCGGTGTATATATACAGGGTGATTCCTATAGTACCTGCCACCGTTTGGGAGCGTGTAGGTGGTGCGTAGGGGAGTATTTTGATATAGGACACTTGGGGTCGGAAATCTAAAATAAGGGTGCCAGAGCCAAATTTACCTTCTGGAATTTCGCGCCTGTAGGTAGGCAACCCAACCGGCCGGCGGTGCACACGGAGCGATCTCAGGCGGCGATGTGTGGCTGACACTTGATCAGAATTTTGTTTAAACCCACGAAATCCCGTCTGCAACGACGCGTATCAAGTGAATAAACACTATGGCACGTTTTACTAACACGGAATACGCGGACATGCACTTCATGTACGGATTGGCAAATGGTAACGCACGAGCTGCACGACGAGCGTACGCTGAGCGGTATCCAAACCGTCAGTTACCCTGCAGACAGGTCTTTCAAGAAGTTCACTTCCGACTGTGCGAGACAGGGCAATTGCAGGTAAGCTGACGGAGGCTTAACTTTACACACAGATTCGTGATGCACATCGATACTTGGGTCATTTAAGCACCCATTTCGAAAAGTTTGTTTGTTTACACCGACCTCCTCCTATTTCGCAGCCCACTAGCGCCCGTGATCGCGATCGCCCGTTGGTAAATGCCTTAGAGGAGGATGTGTTGGAACGTTTCGAGGCAAACCCGCGTACTAGCACTCGACTTGTAGCAGATCAGGTGGGTTGTAGTCAACACACAGTGTGGAACATCGCCAACAACAACAACTTACACCCCTATAAGTTTAAGAAAGTGCAAGAGTTACGGCCGGGTGGCAATGAAAGGAGGCTGGAATTCTGCAACTTAGTCGTCCAGGAGGAAGAAGCTAATCCGAACTTTCTGAGGAGCGTGCTAGTTACTGACGAGAAAGGATTCTCAAGAGAGGGGACCTTCAATCCTCGTAACAGCCACTACTGGGCGGAGCACAATCCTCATGAAACGTTTACGCGAGGATACCAGGACAAGTTTTCTTTAAACGTTTGGGCTGGCATCCTGGGGGACAACCTACTGGGGCCTTACATCCTCCCTCCGCGTCTAAATGCCCATAATTACCTGATTTTCCTGCGCGAGGTGCTACCAGAACTTTTAATGGATGTTCCAGTGAACTTGTACTGGGACCACTGGTTCCAGCACGATGGGTGCCCTGCTCACTACGGGCGCAGGTGAGGGAACACTTGGACCAAACCTATCCGGACAGATGGATCGGCCGTGGAGGTGCGGTGGAGTGGCCTGCCCGCTCGCCCGACATCACCCCATTAGATTTTTACTTGTGGGGTGTGATGGAAGCGCACGTCTACGAGACTCCCGTCGAATCCGAAGAGGACTTAATTGCGCGCGTCGTCATGGCCGGAGAGGCTGTTCGCCAGGACATAGGAGTCTTCACGCGAGTTCGAGGGGAGTGGTTGGCTAGATGTAGGAAGTGCATTGAGAACAACGGTGGCCACGTTGAACACTTGTAAACGTTATTGCTTTTGACTGTCGTTTTCCCTCCTTCCCTCCCATGTCGCTTCCTCGCGCTAACTCGCTCTGCATCGCTCCGCGCGAAACGTCGGTCGGTTGGGTTGCCTACATACAGGCGTGAAATTCCAGAAGATAAATTTGGTTCTGGCGCCCTTATTTTGGATTTCCGACCCCAAGTGTCCTATATGAAAAGACTCCCCTAGGCACCCCCTATACGCTCCCAAACGGTGGCAGGTACTATAGGAATCACCCTGTGTATATATATATATATATATATATATATATATATATATATATATATATATATTATATATATATATATATATATATATAACATAGCGAACATGGGTTGAGTCCATTTTTTTTTGTTTTTTGGTTTTTTGGGTTAAGCACCATATAACTTTCTGATCTATTGGCAGTACTTGGTCCAGTCCATCGAAAGTATTTACTAATTTATTATTTAGATTATTCATTTTAGCGAAGTCTTGTCATACATTGATAAGCGAAGTTCAAAATAATAGATAATACCTAATAAGTTATATAACGAGCACTTCGGCGCCGGCTAATTCTCAGTGGACAGAGGGGGGGGGGGTTATAACAATCAACAAAATATCTACAATAGTTACAATATGGGAAGACAAGATGGTACTGTTCCCAGTAAGTAAGGCGGCACTCCCAGGTGGTTTTGGAGCACTTAGGTGCCGTGCCGCAGCAGGTCTGGACGAGACGGCCAGGTGATCAGAGCGAATCTCAACCAACGTCGGTATCAGCAGTGATGGTAAGCCAATGGGGTAGGCCACTTTCCAACCAGGTTTTAACAATCTGCCGTAAACCGGAGTCTATATGAGACTCCGTACACCAACAGATATTAATTTAACCTGAACCAATTCTCCTCAGCTTAGGAATGCCAGTGCTAATTAGTTTTCCTCCCAAATACAGTAGTGAACCAAAGCTGCCCTTTTTTAAGATTGATTGTGATGTGTTATTTTTACGTTCTTTCTATTTGCCCAAAGCTTAAAATCATCAACCATAAATACTTACTAAGAGGTCACACACATCTTGAAGCAGACACTGACCATGCATTAATTGAGAGGCAAGTAAAGAAAACTCCTGCTTTTCAGATAGCCACTCCATGGGACTGGCAACAACTTGTTAGAATTACCTCTCCAAAGTTTTCTGTAATTAATATGGACACTGCTGATTTCTTGGACTTGAAAAGTTTATACGGCGATAAAAATGCACCTTATATCAAATCTAGAAAATCTGAGAGCGGAAATACACTAAAAATTTCCGAAGCAGTACACTTACAGGTAAAAAGAGAACATCCCGGCCATCTATTTTTGAAAACCAATTTTACTGACACTGAATTTGAAGATGTTAATTTTAATCGTCGAGCAAATTCCACACGTGGACTAAACTTAGTGATTCCAGCACTTAGAAAATCATCAAAGCCTATTACCACGAAAAAACACAAACACCTGTTAAATTTGCTGCAGTGGGTTCCTTCAAGATTTCACCAGTTTTATAAGGATTTTAAACTTGACAGCATTAGTGATGACGTCGATGACGATGAAGAAATAAATAACAAAAAATGTTTAAGTCGTTGTGTTATTAGGTATCACAAAAAAGTTAGGAGTTAGTCCCGTGTCTTAATAACACAAAACTGTTAAGTACAGTTAAGTCCATACGTTTTTTCATTACATATAGTTAAGTCCTTTATTTTGTTAATAATACAATAAAATAAATAAAAATATTTAATAACTTGAAACTACTTTACTTTATTTCCAAAATAATCATTAGGTAGGTATAGGAAGTTTATTATCCCGTTATATAAGCAGCCCGGCAGGATAAAACGAACACCACACTTTAAAATGGCTCCCACGCAAAAATCACGTTTTTGGACTCCTGTTCAGATATATATGTGTAAAGTGTACTTCCCAAGGTACATCATCTTGGCCCTTGGGGAATTATTGTCTTCTTTTGCAATTTTTTCGATCACAGGTACGTTTACAGACCGGTATGTGAAAGGTTGAAATTCAATCATATTGTTTTTAGCAAAGATTGTGATATGCTAATAGAGGTCAATATCTTTTATTTAATGATACCGAGGCGCGTGGCGTAGTGGTTGCGCTCACCGATACTATTCGGGAGGTCGTGGGTTCGAATCCCGCTGCCGACTGCTCCGTCTGGGGTTTTGTCAGGGGGTTTTCCTCAGACATACGTAGCTTCGCATAATGCTAGCATTATGTTGAAATCTACGAGAGGAATGATGGAGCAGTACTCTCCCCCTCAGCACCATAACTCCGTTCCTTCCGTTCCCACCCCTAACTTTACCTATCCTTACATTCCCGTTCTCTGGTAAGCCTGAGCAGCCCGCCTCCGGCGTCCCTATAGTCAGGGATGTCGGAGGAATGAAACACGACGACCTTTTCCTTTTATTTAATGATATAAAATAGTGTAATAAAAACAAGCAAGACTATATTAGGAACTTTTGTACTACACCTATTACATAAGTCTTCTTCGCAGAAACATAAATGACCTGTTTTGCTTCTCTCTTGCATACAACCTCTGTCTACCATGAATAAATTTACCTGGTACTGTGTTATACAAGACCTTCGCACTATCTCCTTTGCTGAAAAAAGAAAAGAAATTTAATCAATACATTCTTGGAATAGAAAACTTTGAATCCCAATTTAGTTTACTTATGTTTTAGAGCCATTTAATACAGGATGTATAGCATTTTTAGGCTATTGTTCTTACACAATAACCATTATTTGGTCAGTAGGGCGCGATTAAGTGAAAAGGTTGATTATTGCCTTAGGCGAATAGGGGTAGTAGCTGATGACAGAGGTGCATACCAAATTAAAAATGAATGAATATTGGTTTTGATTACAATTCTGTTTTTTATGTTTCTATTTTATTTAATTCTAGGGTTTATTATTTCACTTCTCAGTCTCTCTCATGGAATTAGAAAGTTTGATCGAAACAATGAGATGCAACAAATAAGTCAAAAACTCGCAACGTTACAGCTAATTTGTCTAATTTTTAATCTTGCCTTTTAACCAGCCTTTTACCCACTGCTTCCGCTTGACTCTTTTTCTTGAAAATGCAAGAACTATCGCGATAACTAGCTTTTTTCCTCAAACGTCAATAGAACGCGACATTTCACAACTCATTTCATGACATAAAAGTTTGATGTTTTAGACGTCATGTGTGTCGGCATTGGCAGTGTATAAAAAAGTCCTCGTTGCCATTGACAGGCTCAGACAATAGCTACTTGTTTTATAAGTACGAAAAATGCTCGTTTTCGGGACTAGGAAGAGTGTTGGTGGACGAAGCGTCAGCTGGTTGAAGAAAAAGTCTTTTTTTTGCATAGATTTCAATTTACCGGATTTTTTTGGCCATAAAATCGTATGGAAAGTGTTTTCACGATTTTTACTATGCATTACCATGTGAACAATAACCTGAATTAATGAGGGATAGTAAATCACGAATGTGAATGATATTCGATTATGGGTTATTAAGGATTACTATGCAACACAATTTCCTGTACAACACGTTTTGTAAGTGTCTTCGCCCTCATTAATACAAATTCATGAAAAAAAGTATCACTTTCAAAACTGGTTCTACCAATAATTATAATCTAGTACTTTTTTATATGCTGCCAATGCCAACGCACAGACGTCTAAAATGCCAAAAGAGCGACGTGCTCACGGCTATCTACGACGATCTCACGTTTGAAGAAAAAATTACATATATTATGCGGAGCCAAAGTGACCTCTTGTGGCTCGTCAGTCAAACACTGACTTGCCATAAAACATATCCTCCTTATATATTCTTTTATCTACGTCCTTTAATTGTCCGATGTTGTTAACATAACATACAGGTTAGTACTGATATAAAAGTATCCCGAAAAATATTGAACGCTGAGGCGATTCGTATTGAAGGTGTAGGGGTCGCCAATATCATACAGTTGACATCTTACAACGGACCTCAACCAACGCCAGCTCTTGACTTAACAATACAATTCAACTTATACGTACGTGTTTTTGAATTTAAAACCCATTTAATACAGCATCCATTGCAGGAAATATAGGGAGGGTGAATTTCGGGCGACGACCAGTTGAAAGGATCCCTGCAGCGAACGTCATACTCACTGTCACAGTTGTAGCAGTTTATAGGCTTCGCTGTAACACACATTATCATTACATTTTTACAATTCGTATGTGGATGTGAGTTAATATTGCGTAGGGTTTCAACTTCAAATCTGATTAGAAAATGACGTGAAAAGAGATGCAAAATGTATGTACGTGTGCGTATTTTTTTGGGACATTCATACAGCTAAAATTAAAATTTATGATAAAAAAATACTCACGTATACAACACCTTGCGTCAAGTTCTAGAACCGATAAACACATAGCTGAAACAATACTGGCTTTAGTAATGATTCATTATAATACGACGGTCGTTCAAAAACGAAGGTAACAAACGCTGCAAAAGGAAAGATACCGCAACGGAGAATGTATCATTGTTTTACTATTCTTTAGATACAACATAAACGAAGACCCGCCCGTTGTAATAACATTGGATAGATTAATGTGGAAATGCCCGTTGTTTAGTGATGCAAGTGATATTAAAGACAATATGTTACCAACCTATGAGGAAGTTATGAAGTTCTATGAATGGAACCGCTATAAGATCCTTACTTTTTATTTTTGTGTAATTTCCTAAGTCCACTTAATATTCTATTCGGAACATTGCAGCTTATTTATATTACGTACTGAGTTTTTTTTTCCTCTACGCCTTATATGGCTTGGCTGTTTGCATATTAATTTTTATGTTTGTAAATATACTACAGTGCAGACTCGATAATCCGAACTTTCGATAATCCGAATTCTTCAGTAGTCCGAACAAGCTTTTCAATACATTGGGTACTCTGTAATCCGAATTTCATTGTACTCGATAATCCGAACCTGTACTTTTAAGCATATTTCCTATAGAAATTGTGACTAGATGTTCAGGGATTTCCCCAATTACATCATCTGGGATTCACATTAAACTGGTTGTGCAGCATTTTTACTGCTTTGTATGCTTTTGAGCAGTGATACATACATATTTACATACTACTTTGCTTGTTGCATGGGATGTTTGTAATGCCATTTGAGGTGATATAAGTGGGTTTTTATTTTAATATTTGCTTAAATAAAAATGGCCCCTAAAAGAAAACACAAGACATTGTCCATAAAACAAAAAAGTGAAATTATTGAAAGACTTAACAATGGAGAAAGTGGTAAAGTGTTGGCCGCTGAGTATGGGGTTGGAAGATCTACAATCTGTGACATAAAAAAGAAAAAGGCTAAAATAGACAGGTAGGATTAATTCTAAAACAATTTTAGTGGTTTTTTTGTACAATTGTTGTTTTTTTAAGATTTATTGGTCAATGTGAATTTGCCCCAGGGCTCAGAAAAACTTTACGAAAAGCTTAATATGCTGAAATGGAAACTCGTTTGTATGCATGGTTTTGTAGACAAAGATCGAGGCATGTCCCAATTTCCTATGAAATTTTATCTGCTAAAGCAAGACAGTTTTATACCGAAACATATGGAAATGATAATTTTAGAGCTAGCAGGGGCTGGATTTGTAACTTTCGAAAAAGGCATAGTCTTCGTGCTTTAAAAGTGTGCGGCGAAAAACTATCCAATGATCAAAGTGTTGTCAATCCTTTCTTGACTACATTTAAAGAGAAGGTAAGACAATTAAATCTTGTGGCTACTCAAATATACAACGCCGACGAATCGGCTCTCTACTGGAAAATGTTGCCGGAAAAAACGCTGGTTCGTTCCCAAGAGAAGACCGCACCAGGTCGAAAAATAAGCAAAGAACGGGTAACATTTTTAGCTTGTTGCAATGCAAATGGGTCACATAAACTAAAGATGCTAGTGATAGGAAAGGCAAAAAATCCACGGGCATTTAAAAACGCAGACATTCCTGTTGAATACAAATCCTCTGCTAATGCATGGATGACTACAAAAATTTTTATAGAATGGTTTCATCAATCATTTATACCTCAGGTTAGGAGGCATTTAAGAAGTCATAATTTGCCTGAAAAAGCGCTGTTAATCATAGATAATGCCTCAAGTCATGGAACTGTAAAAGAGCTGACTAGTGAAGATGGAAGATTCACAACATTATTCCTCCCACCAAATTGTACAGCACTCTTGCAGCCTATGGACCAAAATGCCATCAGACTGACAAAATTATTTTACCGAAAAAGCCTTTTAGCCCACATTTTATCAAGTAACGAAAACAGCATTGTTACGTTGTTAAAAACTCGTAACCTAAAAGATGCAGTATGTCTGCTATGCAATGCTTGGGAAAAGGTCTCTTCTGAAGTCTTGCAAAAGTGCTGGAACAAAATTATGTCCGATAACGATGAAGACATTGAATATGATGATGAAGATCTAATTCCTATAAGTGAATTACGCCGTAATCTGTTTTCTTTGGATGGAGATATGGAAGGTAAATAAAAATGTTTGTTGTTGTTGGTTATTTTTTTATATATTTTTTAGATGTTATTTTAGAGACTGGCAAGTAATTAAGATAAGTCGAATTGACCAGCTTCTTTTGACATTAATGAAATTGAGATTGAACTTATTGAATGACGATTTGGGCCCTCGTTTCAATATTAGCCGTGAAACAGTAGCCAATATCTTTAAAACGTGGTTATTTGCTTTGTATGAAATTTTGTATTTACAATTAATGCAAGCAATTCCATCTAAGGAAAAAAACAAATTTTGCATGCCAGCATCATTTAGTTCTTTCACAAATTGTCGAATAATCATAGACTGTACCCATGACACTAGCTGTAGTATCATGGGTACAGTCTATGATTATTCGACAATTTGTGAAAGGACTAAATGATGCTGGCATGCAAAATTTGTTTTTTTCCTTAGCTGTAGTATCATGGACTGTACCGAGGTAAGCACCATGAAGTCCGAAAACATGGAAAAACAAAGAATAGTTCATATAAACATAACAATACATTGAAGGCTTTAGTAGGTGTTGCTCCAAATGGAGTAATCACCTTCGTAAGTGACATATCCAGGTTCGACTTCTGATAAGAAGATTACAGAACATTGCGGGGTGCTAGAGAAATTAGTTCCAGGAGACTTAGTGCTCGCTGAGAAAGGCTTTTTAATATCCGATTTACTGCCACAGGGTGTATCAATTAATTTACCTTCATTTTTGACATCACAATTTACGGAAGAACAAGCAATTAGAACCCGAACTATTGCTAGGGCAAGGATACAGTGGAGCGTGCAATAAATAGAATTAAAATGTATAGCATATTAGATATGATGCCGCACACTTTAGTAGAACATGCATCTATAATATTTAAAACATGCGCTGCTCTTACAAATTTACAGTTTCCACTTATTAAGGAGGTGGAAACTCTTTATACGGTCAATGAATAGTTTCATTACATTTATTGTATTTTTATTAAATTACCTACAAACTGATTTACATAAAATGTTTAATGTTTTCTATACATTCATCATTTTTTAAGCTTTGTACAATCATTAAATCTATTGTATTTTTATTATATTGCTTACAAAATGTTTTAAATAAAATGATTTTAACAATTCAATATTTTCTATCCATGCATCATTTTTTTTAACTATCGTTAATATAAAATCATTTGGTGTCCATAAGATAAATAACAAAGGTCTTTTTTAGTTATATGGAGAGTGTAATAGCCCTACTATTACCGTCTCACGTTTCTGATTGATAAAAATAAACCTACATAAATAAACCGATTATATTAAAAAAAATAAAATAAATCCAAATTCCACTGCACTCACAATTGATTTTTTTTTAATATTAAATCTTAATTACACAATTACTTACATCTATCCTGAATATTCTTCTAACTTCTAACTTATATTTATCCTATCTATATAAAACCATTCGGCAAAAACAATTATAAAATGACAAAATAAAAAATAAATAAATTTCTAGGTAAATAACTTTTCATAAAAATAACTTACAATTTAGACATTGGTATTCTTCCCCTTTTGAGATGGTGGGTATTGTAGTGGAGGATGTTTTAGATTGTTCTCAATCTTCGTCTATTAAATCCAATCGCGTAATCCAAATTGAACAACCATTTCCTAGCGCGCTTTTCGTACTTGGTATAATTTCTGAACGGAAGTCTTTCAATCGCACGTTAAACTAAACTGCAGTTGCTTTTTTGCAAGATACTCAATGATGAATACTTTCCGAACAATTCGCTTTTCCAGAACGACCAACTTGTTCCTGGTTAAAAGATACGATTTTAAATTAAAACGCACAACAATTTTATTTGGTTTGGACCTTTTTACTGTAGCGAAGAACTTTTACTTTCGCTTTCTAAAAAGTGAAACTGAGTTCCGCTTAAATTATCCCTTTTGTACAGGATTGAAAGTGACCGGTCCTTTTCACATCAATTATTCGACACGCACATGTGCTACCCATTATAAGTATGGGTTGCGCTGTGGGACATCAAAAACGTAATCCTTAACGCGACACAGATGTTTATAAGGGTAGTTCCTATTAGATGTAAGTTAGTTAGTTTTGTTCATCGTTAGGCGCTTGTTGTAAAATCATTTTTGTTGTAAATCAATTGCTATAATAAAGGTTATTAATTGTTTGAATCCGAAATACAAACAATTCCTGAAGTGCGCATATACCCAGCACCTCAATTGGTGACCCCGACGTGATCTTGATTAAGATAATTAAGATACAAGTGAACCTTCGATTCCGCGAGTGATTTTTTAAAACAAGTAAAAATGCCAAACGAGAACGTTGCTACACCGTCCGCGCCCGTCGTAAACGTCAACACACCGCGACCTTTCCGTGCTCCAGCATTTATGCCCGCCAAAATCAAGGTTTGGTTTACGTTGGTGGAGGCACAGTTCATTACGTCAAACGTTATCGACGATGAAGTTAAGTATAGTTTGACAATCTCGAGTCTGACGGAAAAGGCAATCGGTCAAATCGAGGACGTTTTATTGAATCCGCCGGCGACGGATAAATTCAAAAATCTGCGAGAAAAGCTCGTTGAACGTCTGACGCTGTCCGACAGCGCGAGGGTGCGCAGGTTAATAGAAGGTGAGAAGATTGGCGATCGCAAGCCGTCTGAATTTTTCCGCGATTTAAAAGCCTTAGCCACGGATAGCACCAGCGAAGAATTTATCCTCGAGGTGTGGAAAACTCGCTTACCCCAGGATTTACAAACCGTCTTGGCCGCCTCCAGCGAGGGAGCTACCGATACAATTTTGAAGCTCGCCGATGCCGTGCACGAAGTAAAGCCCGCAAGGCAAACAATGCCGCACGTAAACGCCACCAAAGACGTCATCGCCGCCCTTTTAACAAAAATTGACCAGTTGACGCTCCAAGTGAACGCAATTACGCAACAACGATCCCGCTCGCGCTCTCGATCAAAATTTGCGTAGTCGATCGAGGCCTACGATACTTAATAAATAAGTATCGTAGGCCTCGAGTCGATCCGAGAGTCGTAAAGATGCCAGCGACGGGTTATGTTTTTATCATAATCGCTTTAAAGAATGCGCGACCAAATGTCGCGGTGTTTGCTCGTGGTCGGGAAACGATGCGCGCCTTCAGTAGATACGGCGAATACCGATGGCCAAGCGCATCGCCGATTTTATGTGAAAGACTTAAATTTGCATAAATCCTTCCTCGTAGACACAGGTTCCGATTTGTGCGTTTATTCGCGTAAGTGGGTATCCGGCAACCTTCTGCAATGCGTGTATGAACTCTACGCTGCGAACGGTTCGAAGATCGCGACCTACGGAAACGTGCCATTAAACTGAAATTTATCGCTTCGACGCGAGTTTAAGTGGTCATTCGTAATCGCCGACGTGCATATCGCGATTATAGGTGTCGACTTCTTGGATTATTACGGTTTGTTAATCGACCCGCGAAACAAATCGGTAATTGATAAGACGACTGGTTTCTCTACGCAGGGCTATACGGCGGTTGATAATATTTCGGCCATCAAAACCGTAATCGGTGAGTCGGAATACCACAAACTGCTTGCTGCGTATCCCGCTTTAACGCGACCGCCCGTCTTTCGGGAAGGCACCGTTAAGCACCGCGTACAACATCATATCAAGACGACACCTGGATCACCTGTCCGCGCCAAGGCGCGTCGCCTGGCAGCTGATCGTTTCCAGTCCGCCAAGGCTACGTTCGACATGATGATACAACAGGGCGTCGTGCGACCATCGAAGAGTCCCTGGGCAACGCCCCTTCATGTGGTGCCGAAGAAGGACGGTACATCCAGACCGTGCGGTGATTATCGTGGTTTGAACGCCCGCACCGTGCCCGACAGGTACACTCCACCCCACATTGAGGACTTCGCACAGAACCTGCATGGTAAGAGGGTATTTTCAAAAATTGATCTTGTTCGCGCGTTTAACCCGGCGTATCCCACTTACAAGTAAACGGCGCTTGCGTCGTAAGGGGGGGTGTGTCACCTACTGCCTTCTAGGTAATCCTTCCTCACAGTTTATTTGATGCTTTGGTGAAGTTTAGGTGTGTATTTTTTCTAAATTATTGTTGTTTCCCTCTGATTTTTCCTTGGGATACACGCGTATCCCGTGCGACCTCCGAATTTCATTGTGTGATTACATTTTGTTGGTAAGTTATCATTTATACTTTGCTTAGTTTATGAGTGGATTTTTACTGTTAGTATGTTAAAAATGAGCAAAGATCCTAAACAATGGTTGGAATGGTACAATTAGTTAGAGGAGGAGGAGGAAATACTAGGGTGAGCGGATTCAAATGAAGATGAAGGTGATTTTTGTGAAAACGGCGACCACGATACCGATTCTGAGGAAGATGCAGAAGATCCGAATGATTCCGAAGAAATAATAGGGTGGTTTGATGACGATCAGATTCCTCGTTACGTTGGAAAGGACCGTATAACGGAATGGAAGAAAATCTGCCCACCAAAAACAAGGACTAGGGCGTATAATATTTTCGAAGAAAAACCTGGACCTATAGGCAATGCAGCACATGCTAAAACCATTTTAGAATGTTTTGAAATCTTTATTAGTAGCAATATTGTGGAAGCAGTAACTACGTCAACAAATTTATACATTCAAAACAATCAGTCTAACTACAATCCTGAGCGAGATGCGAAGCCGACTGAAGAATGTGAAATAAAGGCTTTATTTGGAATGTTATACCTTCTACGCCATATATTGCACAATGTCGTATAATCGATTTAGGTTTCTTTGACGCTGCTTGAGATTTGACGATGTCAATACTCGGCAAGAACGAAGAGAAATTGATAAGTTGGCAGCAATAAGAAACATTTTTGGGGTGTTTATAGAAAACTGCCAGAAATCCATTATGCCTGGACCCGATCTAACAATTGATGAACAACTGGTGGCCTTTAGGGGACGTTGCCCTTTTAGGCAGTATATACCATCAAAGCCAGCGAAATACGGCCTAAAAGTTTTCGTTCTAGTTGATTCAAGTCACATGTATACCTTGAATCTAGAAATATACGCTGGAACTCAACCAGGCGGTCCTTTTCAATTATCTAACATCCCTTCGGATGTTGTCAAGCGACTTGTTTCTTTTATTAGAGGAACATATCGTAATATAACCATGGGCAATTGGTTTTCTAGCTTTGCACTTGCTGTTCAACTAAAAAATGAATTCAAACTTACTATGCTCGGGACAGTCAAGAAAAATAAACGAGAAATACCGGCAGAGTTTATAAATACTGCTGAGAGACCAGCATTGAGTAGTCAGTTCGCGTTTCATAATGAGTGCACTCTTGTATCGTTTGTTCCAAGAAAGAACAAAAATGTACTGGTTCTATCTACAAGCCATGCAGATGACAGTATTGACCATGAAACTGGCAAACCAACGATGGTAGTGGACTACAATCACACCAAGTTTGGAGTTGATGTTGTCGACCAGATGTGTGCCGCGTACAATGTTGCTAGAAATAGTAGGAGATGGCCTCTTACTATATTTTTTGATATTATGAATATAACAGCAATTAATGCATTAGTATTATTCCAAATGAACAACTCAAACCTAACTCACAAACGACGCGATTTTTTACGCACCTTAGCTTTGGATCTTATGAAACCGCAAATTAGGAAACGATCTGGCATTCCCAATATTTCAAAACAGTTGAGGGAACGATGCTGTTTGCTTGTAACCGAACGTTTGGAAGAATCATCTACTTCTGCAAACAACATTGCATCACCGTCAAAGAAGGCCCGAACAGGAAATGGTCGGTGCTACATATGTCCTCGCAAAAGAGACAAAAGGACCAGAGACTACTGCTCCATTTGCAATAATAATTGGATTTGAAAAGATCATCAAAATGATTCGCCTGTAGTGTGCTTAAAATGCGAAGAAAAAGAAGACGAATAATCGGGTTTCTTTAAATTTTTTAATTGTCTTTCTTAATTTTATTTCTCGTTTGAATGGTTCTTAATAAAAAAATATGACACACATCTTCACTTTGTACCAAAATATCAATTAACTTTTCATTTAAGCCTGTTAGTTATTATGGGACACGTAACAAATCTTCACGCGAGTACTGCAGGATTAATCAAATTCCCATTGCGCCGGAAGACGTCGAAAAGGCCGCCATAATTACGCCATTTGGTTTATTCGAACCCGTGATGATGATGTTCGGATTGCGCAACGCAGCGCAAACTTGTCAGCGTTTTGTGGACGAGATTATACGTGGACTTGACTTCGTATACGCGTATATAGACGATTTTTTAATTGCGTCCGAGAACGAAGCTCAGCATGTAGAGCATTTGAAACTTTTATTCGACCGCTTCGCGAAATACGGGGTTGTGATTAATCCCGCGAAATGCGTTTTCGGCGTAAGCGAAATAGCTTTCCTCGGCTATCCGGTAAATGCCAGCGGTATAACTCCAATGCGCGAACGCGTTGAAGCGATTTCCAAATTTTCTCTGCCTTTTACGTTGTTACCTCGGAATGTTCAATTTCTATCGACGTTTTGTACAGCACGCTGCCAGAATTCTACATCCTTTGAACGACTTACTTAGGGGTTCAAAAAAGGGGGACGCTCCTGTTGAGTGGAATGACGAAGCTCGCGACGCTTTCGCCGAATCAAAGACGGCCCTCGCGGATGCCGCGATCCTTGCACATCCTGTTCCAAATGCGCTAATTAGCATTGTGGTGGACGCTTCTGATTTTTCAATCGGCGGAGCATTGCAACAGCGCGTGAATAACGCTTGGCAACCACTCGCGTTTTATACCAAAACTTTGAATTCTGCCCAACGAAAATACAGCGCGTATGACCTGGAACTCTACGCTATATACAGCGCGATTAGATATTTCCGACACATGGTAGAAGGTAGGAATTTTACAATTTTCACCGACCACAAACCATTAATTTATGCTTTCAATCAAAAATTGGATAAGTGCTCTCCGCGTCAATTTCGACATTTAGATTTCATTTCCCAATTTTCAACTGATATCCAGCATATTAAAGGGTCTGAAAATTTTGTGGCTGATGCATTATCCCGTGTCCAATCAATCTCCCCTGCGGTTGATCACGTTTCTCTCGCTGCCGCCCAAGAGAAGGACAAGGAGTTGCGAGATTGGTTATCTCGTGAGCAACAAACGCTAATTCTTAAAAAAGTTTATTTTCCAGAATACAATACGAATTTGTATTGCGATACGACTGGCGACGTAATACGACCTTTTGTCCCATTACATCTTCGTCGCGCCGTTTTCAATTCATTACATGGTTTATCCCATCCTGGTATTCGTGCTACACAGCATCTAATTACTTCGCGTTTCGTTTGGCCTGCAATAAACAAAGATTGCAGAGAATGGACGCGTGCGTGCATTTCGTGCCAGCGATGCAAAGTGACTCGTCATGTTTCCGCGCCTGTTCAGCAATTCGAGAATATGGCTGATCGTTTCGAACATGTCCATTTAGATATCATTAGCATGAGTTATTGTCAAGGCTACAGATATTGTTTGACGTGTGTGGACCGCTTCTCTCGATGGCCTGAAGTAATCCCAATCGCGGATATGGAAGCAGTGACCGTCGCAACTGCGTTTTTATCAACATGGATAGCGTGTTTTGGTATTCCTTCGCGTATAACAACCGATCAAGGACGCCAATTCGAATCCGCGTTGTTTGCAGAGTTATGCAACTTGTTAGGTACAAAACGTATTCGTACGACAAGTTATCATCCACAAGCGAACGGTTTAGTCGAAAGATTTCACAGGCAACTCAAGGCCGCTATAAAATGCCATGGTGGCAATGATTGGGTTGCTACTTTGCCAATCGTTTTGCTAGGGATCCGTACCGCGATTAAGGAGGATCTGGCAACTACAGCTGCCGAATTAGTTTACGGGACTAGCCTAAGATTGCCTGCGGAATTTTTCCTGACGCGTAATGACCACCCGACGTCTAAATTTGTGGTCGATTTAAAGAAACGCATGAGCGATATTAAACCAACTCCGGTACGGCGCCATGGCGAAAAGAAAGTTTTTGTGTTCAAAGAATTAACAACGTCTCCATACGTTTTTCTTCGCCGTGACGCGGTGCGCGGTTTATCTGACCCTCCGTACGACGGACCATATAGTGTTGGAACGCGACGAAAAATCTTTCATAATTGAAGTCAATGACAAAAAGTGTCGCGTCTCCATCGACCGTTTAAAACCGGCATTTACGCTATCAGAAAATATCGCCGAGCAAGATCAGTTTGATGAAAGTTGCGATGACGACGAACAGGGTTTCACTATTCAGGTTAAATGCGACGCCGGGAATCCTGTTCCCGCGGTGATTGTAAATAGTAATGTAAGTAGCGATGTAAGCTTAGGAAATAGTAGGTTAATCACTACGCGCTCTGGCAGAAGTGTCAGATTCCCAGACCGTTTCCAAGCTGGGTTATAATTTATTATAATCTAAGTAAGTTCATTGTAAGTTAGGTTTAGGTCTTTAATACCCAGCACCTCATTACTTAAGTGGCCCGTAGCCGCGTTTTCTGCGACGGTATCCACGCTCCGCGTGAATATCAACGACAAAACCAGCGCCCGTAATTAACGCTCCCATCGAGTGACCGGAAATAAACAAACTCATAATTTTTTAGCCTCGCTGTTTAATTACATATTTTTCTTAGAATCAATTGCGTCTTTTAACCAGTGACCTTTTTTAAATCACGTACTAATCATTAACTAGCCCAAAATAGGAAGTCCAAAACCAATAACTCATCTTATATTTCACGATATTTGAAACTTAATTACCTCGACAAAAAAAATGTTTGTTATTTTTAATGAAAACTACAACTTCCCAGAAATCTGAATCATCGATACACACTTCTACTCAAATATAATTTTGAAATCCACAAAACTTGAAAAATTTAACAAGCTTCCGTTACAAGAGTTGAATTTGTGCTTAATATTGGTGATTTTGATTAATTACGATAGTATCATCATCATAACAAACAATATAAGACATATTTGCTTTAAGTTCCTCCTTTAAAATTTTATTTCGAAATTGGTATGGGCATCTCTATAATACACTCATGTCCTACAAATCCATCAGGACTTGCTTCAAGAAAACCACACCGATGCAACCACAATCCTGTAGGTGTAACTTGGAGATTTGTGATGGCTTGGAATTGCTCTATAGCTTCCGGTTCATCTCTCTAAAATTATTATCGATTGAAAAAATAAATCCAAACATTGTTGGGTTATAGTACCAATTAATCGCCTAAACAGTGATGGGGGATAGCGGTTCCTTTTTATTGCAGCCAATACTGCTCCAAAATTACTTGCGGTTAAGCGATTTTTTCTACAAATAAGCCAATGTTGATTATTGGCCTGGCCAATAGTGGCTTCACTGATGATGGATTTAATTTTTTCCTCATTCACTAGCACCTTCTCTATAAAACATTACTCTTTATTTGAAGATGAAGATTTGAATGGCCCGATAAATTTCGTCAACAGTTTTCGTGGTGATTTCCTTCGATTTCCGTTTAGCCCACTGGCACTGAACATCGGGTACTGAAATATTATGATGGCCATATATACACAAAGCCGCTACATGATGGCATGATTGCCCTCGAGGACAGCTACATTTTGTTTTCTCGATTTCGCCATCCTTATAGATATACCTAATAAATAATAGTTTAATATGATGTTGATTAAATCTTTAAAATAAATATTTTACCTCTACATCGTACAATCGATCGAGTAGTTCAGCACTGTTCTACGTGGTTTAATTTCACTGCATTTTCCCCTTGAAGTATAAAATTTTACATTTTAATATATTATTTATCAATACTACCTCTTCGAATAAGTTTTGTTTCATCAGCACTGGTGAAGTAATTCACAATGAATGGCACTAAACTTCAGCACGTGCTTCGTTTGAGCCATTTTTATCTGAAAGGACAAATTTACTATCCGGCTTTATGGTTCAATGGTAGAGCGTTGGACTATAAATCCGGAGGTAGGGTGTTCGAACCTGGGTTGAGGTGAATTCTACTCTATACAAAATGCAAGGGCGGTACTTGGAAAATGTCTTTTGTTTATTATTTAAGTTTTTCTAAACCTAACCAACTAGTTTTGCAAACTGAAACTACTTTGCAATCTTTACACGTGTGGTTGCACTCTAATCGAAACCTTAGTTGAGCAGTGCTCAATCGACAATGGAAAATGAAATACTCTCACAGCGTTCTCAAGCAAACTTTTGTAGTGAAAGTTTTGTGTACGTTTTTGATAGGATGTCAAGTGATGGAAATGTTAAGTTTTGGAGATGCCAAGAACGAGGAAGGTGCAAAGCCAGATTGCATAGTGGGGAAGATGGAGTTTTGAAACCTATCAATCAACATTTACACGAAGCATCCGCTGCAAAGGTAGAAGTTCAAAAAATCATTACCAGGTTTAAACGTCGTGCAGCTGACACTATTGAACCCACAAGTTCTGAATGAATGCACTTTAGATGCAGCTCGAGGTGCACTTCCTCGATCCCAAACGCTTAAAAAGACTGTGAGAAGGAAAAGGTTGGAAATCCGTGCGGCTCCCCCAAATCCTGCAAATTTGGAGCAATTAGTTATCCCATAAGTTTATTCGGCATACGAAGTTCGACCAGGATTTTTTGAAAATTTTTTACTTGCTGATAGTGGACCTGTCCTTAATATAATATTGAGCTTTGGAAAAAGACCAAATCTCGATGTTCTTCACCATGCCAGGGAATGGTTCGTGGATGATGCGTTTTTTGCAACGATATTTCGATACACCCATGCCAATGGCACCGCTGAGTGATATGCAAATGCTCGCGTATAATGTAAGCACTCATTGTCACATTTGCGAAGGGCCGATACTGGAGGGGGGTCAAAGTTCGCGATCACTGTCACTTTACAGGCCGATTTCGATCTAGTGCCCATCAGGCTTGCAATCTTCGTTATAAGGCCCCTTCACATGATTCCAATATTTTTCCATAATTTCAGCGGTTACGATAGTAATGTTATTATTAAAAACATTGCACAAGCTATTCCCGGTAAAGTTACACTTTTGCCTAAAAACAAAGAGCGCTACATCTCATTCACTAAGCACATGAAGGACACTACAGTGCAATTCAGATTTGTAGATTCGTTTCGCTTTATGGATTCATCATTAGACAAATTGGCATCATATTTAAAATTTGACGATTTTAAAATTTTACGCTCTAAGGCCATTTAAACGATAAGCAGTTAAAGTTATTAACTAAAAAATATGTGTTTCCGTACGAATACAAGGATGATTGGACGAAATTCGAGGAATCATCGCTTCCCGAAAAAAGCAAATTTTATAGCAGATAACGCAATTCGACATTTCGGATCAGCAATATTCCCATGCTAGAAACGTTTGGCGTAAATTTTACATTCAAAATTTGGGTCAATATAGCGACCTTTATCTAACGAGCGATGTGCTTCTGCTCGCCGACGTCTTCACCAATTTTAGAGAGAAATGCATAACAACGCATAAACTAGACCCCGCGTTTTTCTTTACCGCACCAGGTTCGTGGCAATGCATGCTCAACTATACAAAGGTAAAACTGGATCTCTTATCTGATATCGATATGGTATTGTTCGTGGAAAAGGGAATAAGAGGCAGAATAACTCAGTGCTGCACGAAATATAGTAAAGCAATCAACAAGTATATGGAAAACTATGATTCTAGCAAGCCGTCCTCTCATATTCTATACACGGATATGGTTAATTTATATGGTTGGGCTCAAATTCAGTGTTTACCTCAGAATAACTTTCAATGGCTTTACGAAGAGAAAATAAGGTCTTTAACTCCAGAACTAGTAACAAATTAAAAGCATTTCAAGAATATTACAAGCTACCTACGGATGAAGAATTCTATGATGACACTTTTGGGTTTATGGTGAGACCTAGATGCGGAAACGAAGATATTTTGAGCTCCTATTCGGTAGCACCCTATAAATGGGAAAAGAAAACAATATATTATCATCTTGCATATAGTGATTATCGAGCGCTAGCCCGCACTAGAGAAGCTTTCCAAACTTGAGGAAGATATGCAAATTTAAAATTTGCGTATAAAACTTCTGGATATGATAATATTAATAACATTTCAAAGCCTCAATCATTCGATGTATTTAAATCCCCATTCCACATCTCAACGGGCCTTAGACGGTCGAGGTGGCAAACTAGCACATGCCAACTTTCCAAAACGCAGTCAGACTCCGGTAGACATTACATATGGATAGAAGTGAAGCATGGTACTTTGAGGATTCAAATATACCGCCTGCAGATTCAACTAGCTACTATGCGGTTTTAGTTCATGAGATAGATCATGCACTGGGATTAGAACATTCGAAGGATGAAGATGCAATTATGTTTCCCTATATAACTCGCGATAAGCGTGATTTGGGCGCTGATGATATCGTAGGTATACAGAAGCTAGATCCCAATGAAGAAGGCTACTTCTACTACTACAAAAACTACAAGCACCACTGCTGATACTACTCTGAAGAAAAAGCGTCATCTAGTGAACCACCCGATTTGTGCGCAATTCAAGTGGAACGCTTTTTAATTTTAAACAAACGAATTTATATGTTTTACAAACATTGGGTGAGGATATCAGCTCTAGGTAGTAATTACATTGAGACCGCGAGGAATTTATTCGAATGGCTGCCGTTCCTTCCGAAATCTTTCGAACGTTTCGAAGCGATATATCAGAAACCTAATAGTGACATTATATTCATTAGCGGAGGTCAAATTTACATAGTGCAGTTCCCTAGTTTACAATTGCTAGCAGGATGGCCTCAGCCCTATCATCGATTTGGGATCCCAGGTGCAGTGAACGCTGCATTTAACACTTATTCTGGACGCTCACTTATTTACCATGGCTCGAACGAAGTGATCGAGTTTGATGATTGCAATAATAAACCGAAGAATCGATTGATATACAGCCAAACATTTCCTTACATCCCCAACAAATTCACATCCGTGTTTAAATATATTGATGGTTATCTCTACTTTATTGATAACAACAATAAATTTTATAAATATAGTGAATTTTCGGAGCAGGTGACTCAAACAGGAATCCTGGATTTATCTTTATTCAAGATTCATTGCGCTAATAAGGGGCTACTAGAACAGCTTTATGATGTATTATCTAATCTCATCAAATTTGATAAGCATGTTAAACCTTATTTACAACCTAGACGTACTTGTATTAGAAAATAAAAGAGTGATTATACTTATGAAGGTGTTTTATTAATAACATACAGCTTTTTTTAAAATATTCTTAGCTTATCTCTAACATCCTTAAACGTTTCAGGGTAAATATTTACAATTTCTAACAAAACGTTAAATCAGTTGTCCATTGCCTGCATTCAACTATCGATTTTAATAATTTAGAGGTTTTGACAGAAAAATTTCCCTCTTGACAAAATGCTTTCGTCATGTGTTTTAACTTCCCTATGAAGTGTTTCTTCTACTGCACATATGAAGTTGTAATACGTTCAGTACATGGAATGATCATTAAAGTTGTCTAATTTTTGGTTCACAGCAGTTACGGCAGCAAAAAGGAGGGTGATCGCTTTTTTGATTAACAGAACACTATGTAAAATGGTGTAAAATTAACTGCCTCGATTGTTATGCCACAGCCAATAAACCTTTCCTGATTCTGCTGATCTTCCAGACCATTTAACATGAGCCGAATTATACGCTCTGTTTTAATATTTGAAATATGCCTGATTACAAAATACTTGCACGGATGGCGCAAAATCCTTCAATGCCACAGTTCTAGTCTAATCACTCCATCGAGAATTAAAGATCATGTTGATATTAAAGTCGAATCTGTGACTATCGTTTCTGCCGAATTATCAATCCAACTAAAATTTGCGCTTTCCTCACTCCATAGCTCTTTGAGGACAGGTTCAAATTGTTTTGTTGATCGCTCATAATGTAGGTAGCACGATTCGATCCGCTACTGCTGTCCCAAGGATTAGTATCGACTCTTTTACACTGATTATAAGACATGCGCGTTATATAGTACCTATATACGTAGCCTTTTTTATGTTTCGTGTGTATGCGACTTTAATTGCTCGCTGCGGTTACTCTTTTCCTGTTATCTAAAGGACTAAGGCGGATATTGATTACAATTCATTTACATGCAACTGTGCGCGGTGATTGAGTGGTGAGTTTACATTTTTACATCGATATGGTAATTATACAATTTCTAGATTAAAATGAATCAAATACTTGAAAGTATACAACAATTCGAAGCGGAAAAAGAAAAGTACTTTAATGAAACGAGGAATGCATTACTGCAACTAAACGTTTAACAAACTAATGCAGATATGGACCAAGATACCCATTATATATCAAAATGATAGCGAAATATGTAATCGAATTCGCTGTACTAAACACTGGAATCAACCGTGGCAACGTATCCATATTGATGGACCAGCTCCGCTTATAATGCAAATATTGCATTCAAGGTGAATTAACGAACTATTTGTTACCTTTTTTTTAGTCTTCCTCAAAGTAAGCTCTAGTTGGTCTAGTGATTAACTCCGTTAACTGCTAGACCAGCTAGCGTTTTAAGCTCCGTTCAAATCCTGACACCTTACTTGCAAACCTGTACCGCTAGAGGGCACAGGTACCTTTTTTTTCTTTCCCTGCTACCCTTCGCCATCTAGTGCTACCACACCCCCGCAAGCAAAGGCTCCCTCTCAAGGCAACAACCCCTCATAAGAAGTACCTAGCTCCGTAAACAGTCCCATTAAGAACCGAGGCACGTGGCGCAGTGGATGCGCTCACCGATGCTATTCGGAAGGTTGTGGGTTCGAATCCCGCTGCCGACTGCTCTGTCTGGGGGTTTTCCTCAGACATACGTAGCTTCGCATAATGCTAGCATTATGTTGAAATCTACGAGGCGAATGCTGGAGCAGTACTCCCCCCCTCAGCACCCTAACTCCGTTCCTTCCGTTCCCATCCCTAACTTTACCCATCCTTACAATCCCGTTCTCTGACTGAAGAGGGTCAGGAAGCCCTGAGCAGCCCGCCTCCGGTATCCCTGTAGTCAGGGATGCCGGAGGAATGAAACACGTTGGCCTTTTCCTTTTCCCATTAAGAAATGTTGACCATAAAATGACATACCACTGCAACACATCTCGATGATTCCAACATACCACCGAGGGGGTCACCTCATCACGCGCCAACACGCCAAATACAAAATGGTCAACTCTCTCATTTATCAACTCGTAAACCACAAAATGGCCGACGGCAGCCATTACTCGTCTCTCTTTGGCCGTCTACCGTCACGGGGCCAATACTGCTGATTAGTCTGACGTCACTTCCTGTGCCCGTACGTACCCAGCTACACTACTGATGTGAAATATCTTACACATGGCTTCTTTAAGGACCATTCTGCAAAACATCTCCAATACTATGACTCCATTCGCCCTGGGAAGAAGGCAGGCGATTCTGTTGTCACAGATGTTGTATGTTTAATATACAGTAACAAGAGCATTACCTACAAACTAAACTATGATGATGGTTATCAAGATCTACCAAGAACGCCCACGAAGGTAAACATTGCAGCCCAACCGCATGCTTTATATAAAAAGGCAATTTCAATTGCACTGTCGAAGTGGCAGCACCTTGTAACCTTACTTTGGTGGTTATAGGTGCTGACCGTGCTCGAAGGTTCGGAAGCTGGAATCGTGGGTTACCTATTGTTACTTATTCGTTGTTTGGTGGGCGCCAACCTGTCTTATTTTAAATTGCCCAACGACAGGTGGTGGGACAATATTGATAAACATATATGCATAAATTGTTTAATTTATTTAAACAGGCAAGTTTTAAATTGAATGCTGAATGCAGCGGATGATTGATCATTCACGTTTGCAACCGTTACTAATCTAGCAATGATACACAAATTATTGGCAACAAACACAAATAACATTAACAATTAAATCCCAACAAAGATAACGATAGATTTATTTCAATATGGGAATTCATAAAATCATCGCTGTTTACAGATTTGGTTAACTTTCAAACCTTTGAGCAGCGCAGGTGGAATTATGGCGGCTACGTTCCTTCTTATCGCAATGGACACGATTTTCTTTAGTTATTTTGCAGGTGATATAATATTTTGCGTCCTATAGGCATCAGGAGCTGGCTACGTAGTTCAAATTCCAACACTTAGAATTGAGAGCCCTAAAATGTAACCCGTCCCTAAATATGACTAAGGTACTTATTGAATTTATATCTTACTAGAGATGACGAACGGCCCTCGTAAGAATTTTCAGACACTTATCAAAATAATGTGCTTTTTATTGTCTGCTGTAATCTGTGCTGGAATAATTATTGTAGAAAATTAAGTAACTAAAAACCTAAAATTATTGACGTTTATTAAATAGATTTTATTTTCAGTAACTTACGTGTTGTTTTCAGTCACGCAACCCCACTGACTTAAATAAGTCTCTTAAACTAAATTTGTTTTAACTAATAATTCAGAACGTCTCTATAACAAGATCGCCATATGCCTTCTCCTATTCCTTCAAAAATTGTCCGTTTATCGCCGCCGCGTATCGCGTTCATGCGCTATACGACTGCATTAAAAGTTTGCTAATTTTTAAATTTGAATATAAATAATTTTCTATTTTACAGAATTTTGGAACGCTACAACCTTCAACATTTGAAGGGTGTTATACCAGTCGATTTTCATGCATTTTATGATAATCTTGCATATCCTGAACGTATTACATACATTTCCAATTTTAATAGTTTTGAGTTTATCACTTAACACACACAATATTAGGTAATTCGCTGAATGCAATCATTTAGTCCCCAGACGAAAAGGTTATCTAACGACACCCCTAAAACTTTAGATTCCGTTTGACTTATTTTCTTAAAGGCAAAGGTTACACGTCACCTTTAAAATGTTTATTAGGATTGGAGTAGATTATTATTGAGTTATTTGTCTAAGGGGAGAGGTTAGTTAGCAACATCTTCACCCTTAACATGTTTATTCGAATTATATTGGATTATCATTGAGTTATTTGTCTAAGAGCAGAAGTTAGTTAGCAATATCTTTTAACTTTATTTCTGTATCAATAATGGAATGTTACATTTAACCCTAAGGTATATTAAGGTAGTCATAAATAGGAATGCATGGAAAACAAAACACAAGTACTACTATAGACGTCGGTCTGGTAACTACTCATAGCATCGTAATAGTAATAATCAAAATTATTCTAAGTTTAATCTCTTGTTCAATTAATGTGATTGTGCAATAATAATAATAAAAGTTATTTTGTTTAATCTTTTGTTCCTCAAACGTAATTGGCGCTGCGAACAGGATTACTAAACGGAAACATCTTAAGTTCTCCGTTGTATTTCAATACTTCATTAGTAGAAGACTGTGCAAAAATTCCGAAGAACAAACTTGTGGCCGAGCAAATTAGAGGACTCAACTACCCGAATTCTTCTAGTAGCGAAAACCATCCGGTAACTTTGGACCCCACCAGCACAACTTATCGAAGAAGCGAAACTTTGACCACTACCCTTCTGGACGACTCCAGGTGATGTTATCTGCAACGATATTCCTCTGTCATTTTATCCTTAACTAAAGTTTTCGCTCTTATTTTATAAGGTCTATGTATAGGGATAGATCCCTTTTAAAAAGAAACTCAAGTAATTCTAAAATGGCAGTTAACGTCCACTTTTCCGAAATTAACCTTGCAAAAGAGATCGTTCCTACTGTTGATGGGGGCGATGCGAATCGTGCCTACTATATAAGAGAGTGCGAGAAATTTGTATCCACTTACATAAATACCACTACAGGGCAAGAACAATGTTCTTATAACAAGATAATTTTCGAGTTATGTTGTTCTAAATTAGAAGGAGCGGCTAGAGAGACTTTGACAACAATAATTGTACAACCTGGCCTCAGCTAAAACAGGTCCTTTTGAATCGATTTGGTGATCAGCGTAGCGAAACGATTTTGGAAAATGACTTAATGACATGTTTTCAACGTTTTAGCGAAAACTATGAAAATTATCATGAAAGAATAAGGCAAAAATTACAAAAAATTTTAGATTATATGTTAGTGTTAGTACAAATGACCAGAACATTCTAAATAACAAAATATCACACTATAAAATTAAAGCAAATGACACCTTTTGCGCAGGTTTGCTTAAACCGTACTCATCTCTTGTCGTTATGAAAACCTTTCTTTCCCTGGAAGAATGTCTCGCTCACTTGAGAAATTACGATAATTTGCAGAACCAGGCTAGTTTCCTCGATTTCATGCGAAACTGCTTCCAAAATTTCAGATAAGAATAATCCCAGGTCCTATGCGAGGCAGGTCCAACATGTTTCTACCTTTAATTTGCAACCGGAACCATCCTTTCAGAATTTTCCTAGAGGACCAATCAATATCCAGAGTAGGCGAATACAAAGCAATTACCCCACCAACAGTCAGGTGTTCGGAAAACCGACTCGAACTAATCATTCCGACAATCCCCAACCTACCGTCTTTGGAGGAGTAAACAACGATAACAATAATAGGTACAAGCCCACACCTATGTCCATAAGTACACGAAACACCTATCACAATAATAGAAATCAACCCCGCGAATTCCCAAATCACTTTAAACCTACGGGACCTAGAGATTTTGTAGCTACACAAACGTAGAACCACAGGCAGATCAAGATTATTCGTATCAAGTAGATAGGTCAGAAGAAACCCAACCTCAATTTGCCGAATATCATGAAAATAACCAAGAATACCTAAGCGAGCCTCTCATTCTCTAATGAACGCAGAAGTAGCACACACCTATTCTAAAAATTACTTCTTTGAAAAACGTTATACGGTCAAAAGCATTAATCAAACAGTGACTAGTACCTCCACGTACGGTATAAACCACACGGTATAAACCACAAAATTAATTTCCTCGTATTTCAATGGCACGATCGATTCGATGCGTTACTGGGAAGCGAAGATTTCATTAAGCTGCGAACGACCATAAACTACCAAGATAAATTTTTGAGAATAGGTGGAATACAAATTCATCTGTATCTAGAATTAAATTCATTCAACTTCAAGCCTTTCAGGCAGAACGCAGAAAATAAAATGCGAATTCCCGTAAACATCCAAGAAGGATCAGTTATTACCCGAAACAAGAATAGACAAGAATTTCATTTTACCCGAGTGTATAGCACACGCGAAAGAAGTATTTTGTGAAATCCCTATACCGGAGGAACTCACTGTCGACCTTAACTTCCAACTACGAAGTTACACTATGTAGAGGAGCCATAATAGAGAGCCTCAGAAAAACGTTTAAGGAAATTATTGAACCGCGAATCTTATATGGTGTGTACTTCCAAGAGAAGGAATTAGAAACGGATGTCATCCGCGTTTGCAGACGTTTATTCAACGAAACCAACAAATTCGTTAAAACTAACACAATGCTAAGATGTATATACGCCATTCGCCCTTTTATACATAGCCCCTTTGATGACCTAAATGCCCACGAAATAGACTTAGATCAGATTATTTATGAATCCTACAATCAAAAGCGCAAAGATGAAATAATGCCTTTCTACGAAACCCTCTATCAAAAGCAGTTAAAAAAGGCAAAAGAAAACATAGAGAATCTAAACAAAAACAAGGAAACACTAGAATTCCAAGAACCAGTAGCCTATTTTACACGTAAAAAATATAGACAAAGTGACAGGTATACGCGAAAACGCCAATAGGAAGACCAACATCAATTTAAATAAAATTAAAAGAAGTAAAAAGAACATTTTCTTACAGGATCGTGAGCCTCCTGTTGACCCCTGTTTATTGACAATGCAAGTGCTATAAAATTAGCACGAAATCCCGAGTTCCACAAGCGCTCCAAACACATAGACGTAAAATTTCATTTCTTACGCGAGAAGGTAATTGAGGGTCTGCTGCATGTCGGAACATATCGCAGGATATATATATATATATAATATCGGGTAATTTTATCGCACTAGGTTTAGTGTCGTGGGCTCCCGTAGTATAAGAAGGATTTTCGCGCTCATTAAAACATAGTAATGTAATATGTAACACGTTATTGTAATTTTTGTGAACTTTTTCTTGAAATATAATAATGCCACCATCACAATTTCAATTTTCATAAAGGTGGATTTTGTAAACCCTGTAGTGAGGATTTAACGTTTTTCTTGTTTTTTTATGAAATTAACCGGAGACAAAGATGATCTCCCATTCTAATCAAACTTTATAGGTAAGTTAAAAGCATCATTTACAACACTTGTTGCTGTGCTGGATAGTAAACAGAATAAGAAAAAAATCCTTATTAATTCACCAAACCTACGTTTTTTCTTTAAATTTTAAAGTCAATCCGGAGGGAGAACATAATGTCTGATTCCAATCAAATTTTATATGCGAGCTACAGACGAGCTTCATCAGAAACTGTCACAAGCTTCAAGGTCTGTAGTTTACGACATTGTTACAGATAAATTTCACTACAAAAAAAGTAAATAAATTTGAGGCACTTTTGGATAATGATTAATTTGACACTCAAATTTTTATGCTATATGTAATATCGATAGCTCTAATAGCGAACACATCCAATACACTATTTACAAAAAGGAGGCGTATAAATCAAGTAAATAAAGAGCAATTTTCAGGTGTAACGCGCAGAATTTTAGATGCGCCAATTTACTATAGTCATGTTATTATATTAAAGCACAAAATGTACTTACTAATTATGAGAATTCCAAATTTCATATTGTACAACACTAATTAACAGATATCACTCTTATTAATTAATCAATTGTGACTTGTGAATATGAAGAAATGCTTGGTATATGTATAGAAAAGTTAAATATATCTCGCAATTTTGCATTTATAAATAGCTGCCAATAGTTATTTCAACGAGTCAAGCTATATTTAAGTTTGTGTGCTCCCATACTAATACCGATTTTACCTATAACGTATTTGTGAATAAGCACGTATTAACACTAGCTGAAAATTTTATTTATGTCGCACGGCAATGATGAATGAGAGAATTGCGATTAGTTTAAATGGAGGGTTAAATGTCAGCAGAAAAGAAGACGGTGGTGTCGCGTCAAGTGTTAATTGTACCGTACTCGGTCGCAATCGGTAGATTAAAGAAAAGACGCGGATACTGTCGATACGGTACTTACTTTATATTGCGCAATTATTTTGTTAATTTCAATCTAAAATTCTCGCACATCTCCTTTAATAGGATTACGAGCATGTTAAGATTAGGCTTATTATTCAGCTCGCTCGTGTCGCAAGTGATCCCGGGTGAATAAGAGTTATTTGTGTTTTTCATATGGCGTTATACGGTTATCATTTCCATTGTTTCCGATGGGTTGCGAAATCTGTAAATTTTTTAACTCCAACTTTAGTAAGTATATTAAAGAAACGAGTTTCATAAGAACGAGAATGAGTTTCCGAATGGAAGTGTGCGACAAAGTCTAATGAAACGAGTACGTTGCATAAATCAATTAATAAAAATAATAATAACTTTATTCCCTATAAAGACAAATATAACGCGTCACAGGATCGTCACAATAACATCAAAGCAAAAAACATTATGTTTGGAAATTAAAATGAATCTTCAAAAAATTCAATTAAACTGTAGTAAGGTTTTGACATCAATACATTGTTGACCTTGATTGACGTGATGGATCTTAAATTACACAATTTGAGCAAATGTAAATGTCATTTAACATCATCATCGATTCCAATACTACCTTCCTTTTGCAGCACTGTTCATTTAATTTTTCGAAGTGTAAGTAAATTCAGATTGATACTTTTGTTAATTGATTAATATTACTTTTTATGGTACTTTGTAGAATGGATAATGAAATTATTAGTACTCCATCGGAGTTACGAGAAGTAGCGTAAAGTACAATCAGTAATTTGTTACCAAACAAGTCGAGGGAACGTTCGGCGAATTGTGTACTACAAACGAAGTCGCTGAATAAGTAAAACGAAAACGTCGTCTTCCTTGTGGTTAATATACCGATTCTATGTTACGCCCATGCTTAAATATTCACAAAAAGTTGGACTAGTGTGCTAAATTAAAAGCATATTTTAACGATTGCCGAAGAGATCCAGTCTTGAGCTACAGAACGTCAATCAATTATTCTTTTCTAGAGAAGGCAGATGTCAAATACATTTAGCACAGTAAGTTGTACTTTTCACCAGACGAGGGGCGTAGGTGCTGAAGGAGGAACTGCAGTAATTAGTTTCATAATAGAAGTTGCTGTTGCTGGATGTTTAGATAAAGTAGAAATATGTGTATCATTATTAGCTTCCACACTTAATGGAAGCGTTATGATTAAAAAACTCCTGAGTATGTCCAGATTCTGTATTCTCATTGCTTGCTAGTCAGCAACAAATAATAATACAGGGCGTGTGGTACTGCTTAGGTTGTGTACACAAGTTTGTACATGCTAATAAAGTAATGTATCTTAAGTAAGTTTATCTTACCTTTAGTTTTTCGGCGATTCGGCGTAAACTTGTTTGAAATTGTGAAGGAAAGGACAAAAGGAAAACTCACCACAATCAGCTAAAAGAACTAAAACGTTTACTGTTCTGCTTGCTTTAACTTAACTGTGTGCGAATAGTTGAAATCAAAAATTATCTATTATTCTGTGCACGCATTAGTTATGCGCAGGTAACTAAAATTGTATATGAAAGCATTGAAATGAAAGTAACAAAAACGCGGCAAGTTTAAATTGCTCATATATATATATATATATATATATATATATATATATATATATATATATATATATATGCTGTGTGCACCGGTCCGTAAGCCAAACAGACCGTACACAAAACACCTAAACAAACCTAGCTAGCTCAAACCTTTATCTTCCTCGGAACAAAACTTCTCCCCAGCACAGAGGAGGAATTCGACTCTTTTCTCAGTTAAATTATTAACTTCTACCAGATAGTGGGTTAGACCAAATACCTTAAATCCCAAATCGATCCTAAGAATTTTGATTAAATAAAATGGGCCTTGGGCAAGTATCCAAAGAAAACAATAAATTAAAGGAAATGAAATCGTTCGAAAGACAAACACAGAAATTAATGTGAGAATTACAAATTTCAGTTTTAATGGTTACACAATAAAAAAAAACAACAAGGAAAACAAACAATTATTACAAAGAAAAAAACTAAAATTAAAACTTAATTTTACTTACATTCGGTACATGTCCAAAACTGCTAATCCCAAATACGTTACACACAAAAAAAAACAACAAAATTTCAAAATTACAAAAAACACTCAAGTCGGCGCCGACCACACCTTAGTGACGCACTTTACTGAAGGTCCAAACTTCCAAAACTGCTGCAACTCAGCTTTGCTCCGTAAAACCATTTGAATAAAAACTTTTTATTCAATGGTAAAACGGAAACTCCACCAACTTCCAATGCTAGCTGGCCTCTACAAAAATCAAACTACTGCGGTAACTCGCCGAAGCGAATTAAAAAAATCTTCACTCAACTCCAAAACTGCCCTAACTGGCAACAAAACTGACGATTAAAACTTTACAACTCCAAAACAAAACTTCTGCAGACGTGGATCTGCTCTCAACATGGCAAAAGGCGATTTAAATTTCAAACCAACGTAGTTCTGCGTTGACTCTGGCAAAAAGCCCTTCCTCTTCTCAGTCCGTTCTATTTAAGGTGGAAACCCTTCTTCCAAATTACAAATTAAAATAGCCAATGATAAGCAGTTGATAACAGAAAATTTCCCCCCTAACGCACGTTCAACCAGAGGTAGAAATTATTTTTATAATCAATTTTTAACCGACATTAAGAGATAACACAAAATTAAAATACTAGAAAAAATAGAATTTTCTGTCTTTTAAATACAAAGAAAAGGCGATAAATAACATCCACCTGTCAATTAAATTAAACGTTTACAATGATAACAGAATAAAAGCGATATAAAATTCTCAGAAATCTACGTTAAATAAAATCAAAGATGAGATTAAAATGTAAACAAATACCTACAAACATTGACCTCTTTCTCGTAACAATAATTTCTGTTGAAGTACTTAACTAACGACACAAAACCAAAATCCAGATTAAGGAAATTAACATAGAAACCGCCCTTGTCCTGCCAGACGAAATAACACAAAATTTATTAATTACAAAGGCATATTACTCCATAGATGAATTTCCTATGTAGATTTGTTTGTTTGTTCCATATTTGGTAGCGTCTAGTGGAGAAACCCCGGCTTGGACCACCTCATTGGACACCTGTAATTGCACCGGGTTTAAATAGCTCCAAAGCAAGGTCAGATTATTTTTAATTACCGCTCCTGTCGTGAAGCATGTCGGCGACATTTCCAAACCAGCATTAAGCTCTTTGGGCAAGGCGATCACCTTTTCAACCTAAAACAAAAGTAGTAGTTAGCCAGACTCGAGGTGACCGTTTGTACTTACCAGTTTAGTAATCCGTAGCTGCAGCTGTAATCATCTTTCAACGTTTAAATTCAATCTTGTTACTTCTATACTAATTAATAACTCAAATTTGGTTGCACTTCATGCTCGTAATATTTTTTACTTGTTAATTTATAATTTGCATTTAACTACTTAAGGTTTGTTATATACCGGGTAGGTGCTGAGCGATTTGAAGAGAGTGTCTGATAATAAGCCTAAAACAGAACGGAACTACGCAAGGACTTACCGCTATTTTAACATCATAGAGCATAATGTACCATACCTAAGATCGCTACCCCGATAAGGCCTTATTAGTTTATTGCTCCAGTCGATTACCCTTCGCGCACGTTGTGGCGGGGCTCCTAATTTTTAAACCTTGGAATAAACACGCTATTTATGTTTTTATCATTTATTTATTAATTAAACACCTACACACGTTATATCTGGTTGTCTGAATCTAAATCCAACTCGATCATACTGTTTTTGCAATCTTTGCAGACACATTCGGTGCAACATTTCATGCCTTCTTTCAGGCATGTGCATTTTTCATCTGCACACGATTTATCCCTGCAAAAGATTGCCAATAGTCGTTGGGTGTCATTTGGCACACATTCTTGAAGTTACATCACAGGTTCCAATGAATCTGTTGTATCGACCCATCCAAAATTGACAGGATCCATCCAGGTCATTTTCATGACTATGTAGCCATATTTTTGTTGGGTATATAGTTATAAAATAAATTCAATAAAACAAAATTGATGAATGAGCTATTTACTATTTACCTTAGAACATTGTGGGGTCTGCCGATGCCTGTTAGTTAGGCACCACACAGTGTTTAGCCCCAACGAGAGAGTCACTGGTGAACATGTGCGTTGCGGTCATGCGTGTTTAACTTCAGGCCGGAGAGTAATCTACCAGGCACTTTGTAGGTTGACCGTGCGCTGAACAGTTAATGGTAAAAAGGTAATAAAGTCGTTTTGAGTAGTGGCATTATTGATTTACGAGTGTGACCAGCATCCACATTGGTGACCCCGACGTGATATGAACACGCAACCTTCTGATCTGGGCCCGAGTCAATCCGTTGCAATTTCAGTGACGTGTTGTTATTAATCAGTAACTCTGATAATTGCTCATCGGATTCTTGTTCTTTGGCTATTTCATTTAAATCGAAATTTGAAGAGAGTCTAATCGCGTCTATCCCCGAGAGGGTATCAGCCACTACGTTATCAGGATCTGGAATGTATTCAATTTGAGTTGTGAATTGGGCAATAAAAGATAACTGTCTCACTTGGCGAGGTGAGGCTTTATCTGATTTCTGCATAAAAGCATTTATATCAATGGGTTATGGTCAGTGACAATTTTGAATTGTGATCCCTCAACGAAATGGCGGAAGTATTTCAATGCTTCATGTGGAATGATCGAACGGTGGCATCGAACATTTAAAACTGCAATCATGTGTCATTTGAAACACGCCAATCGCGATTGGACCAAAGTATTATCCACATTACTTATTGGGTTACGTTCTCACGCCAGACCAGATACTGATGCGTCACCCGCAGAATTTGTGTTTGGAACCACTCTGCGCCTTCCAGGGGAATTTTTTATGGAGGGTGATGTTTCGGCTGACCCTAAAAATCGTATCTTCGGAAATACACCAGATATCAACATAATTTTTTTTTTCAACTTTTCGCATGTTTTCTGAATACTTATGCAAATCATAAATGTCAAAATATGGAATAAATCACATAACTGCCCGCATGTCGAAGTTTTCGATACAACATTAGAAAAATTTTGTGTTCGACACCTAATAAAATGAAAAGTATTTGTCGCCGCAATATAAAATAAACTTTATTCGAAGCGCTAAGGACTACTGAATTCAACGCCATCTTAACGGAATAGATAGCTCTTGTAGTTGCCGTGTAACTGGATGAAATATCTCAAGAAAAACGTTTTTCAGCGCGCTCGAAATTTTGCGGTTTTTTTAAATTTTCAAAGTTCGGTACCACCAGAAAAAGTTAAATTTTTCACAAATGATAGAGCCCATTGTGCTTGTAAATGATATATAACACATCTGGTTGTACTCTTGGGTCGCTCATGTGAATATTTCAGAGCCGATTTTACTGGACTATGTAGTTCTATTGGCTTCTGGGGTAGGTATTCGCCATTTTTGTGCCATTATGCCAAAAGCGTTCTCAACTACACGCCGTCCTCTACCTACATAACCTCTTATTAAATCTTTCTTCTCGTTCATCTGTTCTGGATTGTCCGCGAGGAAAAGGGCGCATAAGATATGGTCGCAGGGAGAATGCCTCGTCCCCAATAAGACACAAGGTGTCGATTCCTGTTGATTCGCTAAAGGTCGAGCTGCAGGCACGTTAAGTGCGTGGTTTTGTAGACGTTGTCCGAAAGCTGATACCTCAAAGATTCCACCGTCGCTGTTTTTTTTTTCGGTATTGATGCTCATAGCTCGTCAAAACTGTCAGTTGTCATCCGGAAATAAATATAAAACCGTCCTAGATGATATTGTTCTGTGGTTCTGAATTGCTGTAGCTGTTTTTTAGGAACATTTTTCTTTCATCCGCAGGCGTGTTCTCTCCTGTAAGATTCGAGACACCCTCGCTTTCACTTTGCGCTACTGTTGCATTGATTTCATAACCTCGGCTGCATCTGTTATTGTGCGTGTATCCACGAGATGACCCACGCATTTCAGGTAGAACCTACGAACCAAACGCGGTTTTCTATTTTTATCTAATTTCCACCTGCCGACGCTCTTTAATAAACGAGCCACGTCTAATCTTACGTAAATTTTTCGTAAATAAAATTACCGAAAAAGAGATAATTACCTATTATGTATTAATTTTAAAAACGTAAACTAAACATTATTTTATTCTTTTAATAAGATATAAATAGAGCATATTGCACAAATAAAACTAAAAAAAAACATGTTGCACAAATAAAACTTAAAATGAATTAAAACTAATCTATGTTTAAATTGATAGGCAATTCAAAATGGTATCTTCCCCTTCTAAGATCTTTAAAGCCTTTCAACACCAACTTTAACTGCCGCCGTTCTATCGCACTTTCATCAACAATTTGCGGGTAGGTAAAATAATATTTAGAGTTACTCAGTTTATTTGATGTCTGCTTTCGTAAAAAATTCACTATGAAAGTATTTTCATCTGACACCTCCTTCACAGAAGCCACTAAATTTTTTGTAGTTTGTTTGTTGCTGGGAAGACCTACAACAACGAATGTAATTGTTTTTAAAATTGCTATAGCTGGGTTTTCGTATGCATTCTCTTTGTCTTCTACTTCTTCTCCATTTTCTAATTCTTCCGAGTCATCTTCTAAACCATCTTCATTGTCTTGTACCGTTTGGTCTGATAAGCTTTCACTGCTGCCGCCACATTGTACTGATTTTCCTGGAGCAACATTCAATTTTTTGCCTCGTTTTGGCTTTGGATCATTATTGAATCGTTTTTCTTTTAGCAATTGCGTAAATGATGTTGACCAATTATCTTTTTCCATTTCTTCAGTGTTATCTGGGAGTTTCTTTAGCACGTCCAAGGGTTGTAAAAGGTGAGTAGAATTTGGCGGTAACAAGATAAACCTTAAGTTATTCTTCTTGCATTCTTCTAATACGTAAAGGGGCACGTGACTCGACAAGTTATCTCCAATTAGTATTTTAACGATTTTCAAAATATGGGAGTGCTATTTTTGAGAACCATTCTTCGAACGTGGTGCTATCAAACCAACCGCTCTTGGTTCTATTGTAATGCATTCCATCTAAGCCCCCTTCTAGTAGGGGAGCTAACACGAAATCCACTGAACGAGAATGATCAAAATTGTAACCGATGGAGTTCCATTTTGCCCTATCAGAGTATGCTAAAATCGATCGTCTGCCGCCTCAGGTCATACGACTTAAGGCGCTGCGGGTACTTCTTGTGGTACCAATTCTGAAAGGTTGTTTTTCGAAAAAATAAGTTATATAACCAAATGAAAACGTTGATAATAGCTCTTAAAAAAATATTTAAAAAAATCCCGCGCATTTGATAACTCCGTAAAAAAACAATTCTTAGTCGGTTTTTCACGAACTTTCTACGGATATAACTAGGTTACCGTTGGAAGAATGAAGCTGATTTTTTTTACAGACTCATGATAGGTACTACTAATGACTTAACGGTGTTTCGTTTTTAAATTTTGTCTCTAATTACAAGATTATCTTATTAGCTTAACATTATAAGATATCTTATAATTAGAGAAAAAATTTAAAAAAGAAACACTCTCATAGTCATTGGCTGTACCTATCATTAGTCTGTAAAAAAAAATCAGCTTCATTCTTCCAACGGTAACCTAGTTATATCCGTAGAAAGTTCGTGAAAAACCGACTAAGAATTGTTTTTTACGGAGTTATCAAATGTGCGCGATTTTTTTAAATATTTTTTTAAGAGCTATTATCAACGTTTTCATTTGGTGTATAACTTATTTTTTCGAAAAACAACCTTTCAGAATTGGTACCGCAAGAAGTACCCGCAGCGCCTTAAGTCGTATGACCTGAGGCGGCAGACGATCGATTTTAGCATACTCTGATAGGGCAAAATGGAACTCCATCGGTTAAAATTTTGATCATTCTCGTTCAGTGGATTTCGTGCTAGCTCCCCTACTATTCCACCCACGTTGGATATAAATGGGTTGCTTTGTATACAACGTATGGTGCAAGAAGTCTTCCAGAAGCTGATGCGGCCATCATTACCGACACACTACTTTTGCTACTGTCAATGATTCGATCAGCTCGTTTTGAGACACGTTTGCATAAAACTTTAATTTTACCAGGGTCATCTGATACATTGGTTTCGTCGTAATTTATAATGTTCTTATCAGGAACATCTTTGAGAGATTCACTAAGATTGGTAAAATATTCCTCTACATCATTTTTAGTGACATTAGCCCTTACCCTTTTAATATTCTGGGCAAATCTTCAGTAGTAAAAAAAGTTATTACTAAAACGGCCACGAGAAAAACCTGGAAAATATTTTTAAGTTTCTGACATGGCCGCTAGGTGGTGTAATTGCAATTTGGAATCTAAAAAAGTGATTTCCGCCATATTAACCTAAAAAAATGCCCCCTCTTTAAAGTCGACGATAATCTGAACCTTTTTTGTTTGACAATTATTGCTGTACCTCTAAAAATGAAGTGGTGGGAGGGTATTCAAAAGTTTCTCCCTTCGAAACGGCTGAGCCGATTTTAACAAACTCGGGTTAATTGAAAAGAGTTATTCTTTGGCTATGAATATTATAATATTTGAAGTTTTGTTAGTTTCATATATTGCCGCTTGAGAGCTTTTTTCGACATTCCGTCGGTGTGTATTAACAGAGCCCCAAATTTGGGATTGTATGGTATACACTTTATAATACCAGATTTTCCAGCCCTGATACACTTTTCAATTCCAGCCCTCCCCATACCAAAATCCTGGCTGCGCCACCGATTTCATTATAATTATGGGTTACGAAAATTTAAATTCGGTAATATTAGGTAGTTCAGGTGCACTCATAGAGTTTTAGGTTTTAAAAACGCGTTTAGGTATTTTTTTAGGTAATATTACATGGCCGTCAATTGACTCCATTTTCACAGAAACGGATTTATTTACAAGTATTTGTCCTGTACCTAAAATAATAAAAAAAAAAGGTATTGTACCTCTACAATCCTAGCCCTAGGAAAGATATTTGGCAACAGGAAACTCCTTCGAGAAGTTTAGCACAGAGATTTTTCTCCACAACCTTTAAAACCTAATCATCTCAGGAATCGAAATCTTGCCTTTAAAAGTCCGATTGTTCTCTCCACAACATTTCTTATTTTACGAAATGCCTTATTGAAACGCTCCTCATGGGCATTTAAGGTTCGCTCTCCCACTGGAACCATGAGCCAAAGCTGCAGGGGATATTCTGAATCTCCGATGAGTAAAGAGATTTTTTCAGTTTCATGCAGCTCTCGCAGATGACGATGCACCTCGCTGGTTGTCCACATTGCAAAATCGGTGAACTGAGCCGGGAAAGCGAGTATTTATCCCAATTATTCGCTGGTCGGCAGTGCAAACTATTTGTACATTCAAGTTACAGCAGCCCTTCGTATTATTATAGTATGCGATTCCCGGATTGTAGGATCATCAGTCGGCGGCGCTTGAATGGCGATGTGTTCCGTCTATAATACCTATGATTCCACGAAACTCCCAAGTTTTTGAAGAAATAATTGCTTTTCTCTTCTTTTTTCTGCTGGACTAATTGGGAAATGTATGTGATGTCCGAGATGGTCGTCACATTGACTACATCTTCAATGCAGCGACTCACCGATGCTGGGAGAGTAAAAATCCACTCCAACTTCTGTCTGGTACCCTCCTTGTGCAAACAAATGAAGAGCTGTCAAAAATTTTGACTGGTGGCTGAGGGAAATTGTTGATCTGTGTTCTTGCAGGAAGGGACTGATTTCCAAGAGCAGTGTCTCTATATTGAAGTAGGTATATCCGTCAGTTCTGCGAGTGGGTGCCTTCGTTTTGCAATTAAGTCGTTCTTTCTCAAGATCTTTCATTTGTTGACTATCTCATAGGATTCCTTTGGCGGACTGCATTTTTCCGTCCACAGTTCTATGGTAATATGATTTTAGGACATTTCGCCCTTCAAAATTTCTCTTGGGCAGTGGGGCTTCTCACAATTTCATCGACCGATCACATCTACGAAGGTACCTTCATTTGGTGTCGGTTTGGTTCCTCCACGAGTTTGGTGGCGCCACTAGTAATCTATTGGTTATACAGGGTGACAATTTGAAAACTTACCACCCCCCATATCTTAGTAAATAAACGAGATATTTAAAAAAATCAAAATCCGTTTCGGTAATTCGGAGGGGGAATCACAATGAGATAGTTGGCGACGCACCCCCTCCAACCCCTTGCGCCCCAGCCACCCCAACTTTTAAATCTTAAATAGTGACTCCCCATGTGTGATACGTCGTTGGAAAGCTCTGAAAAAATGCTTTCCAACCATACCAAATAGAATTACA